TCATTAGGAGGTGGTAGGGACGCTATCGACTATGTTTCCTTTATATTAGCATTTAGAAATAATGGAGTGATGAAGTTCTCAGCAGCACCTGTACGCTGTGAAGGCGTTTTATCAAAAGGAGTTGTTCCAAATCATGTGATTTCTCGTAATGGAGACATCACCTGGCCTCTCCGTTTGCCATACCTCAACAACGTGCGTTTTTTATGTGGGGTTACTTGAAGAGTTAAGTATTAATGTTAAGATAACGCACCACAAAGAATTTAAGCCTTGAAAGAACGGATTTGACAGGACGTCTACCAAATTCCCCTGGGAAGTAATGCATAATTTCAGACCACGATTAGAAGAATGTGTACGCCTGAACTGACGTCATCTTCCCGAAGTTATTTTGAAAAAATAAAATCAGTGCTTTTTTATATTCTTTAAGATAGTTCACTTGCCACAGTCGTACATTAGAATATCGCATAATGGTGAATACCAAAATTTCGAGATTCTCAATGCTAAACAATGGATAATGTTATAATTTCAAATAAAATTCATCCGGCAACGTCGTAAATATATGAATGGTGTGCTATAGATATTTGTGACTTCCTCATACTAATTTTAAGGGTTTGTTTTGGTTCAAACGGAACCGCTGATTCCAGTTCTCTAATACAGTGGACGAATTAATTTTTCAAGAACACGTCGCGAGGTTATAACAACCTTTAGCTGATCCAGTGTAATTCAGTTACCGCGCGTTAAGAGTAGCGATTGCAATGTTGCCAAGTTGTAATCATTTTACGCAACTACGCGTCGACTGCTTTAAAATTATTTTTATTTTAAAAATCTATATCTTTTTACTAAGACTCAAAAAAATCACGATTTTTTTAGAAAATTTTATAACTTTATAACATTAGTTTTTAAAAAATATGGTAAGAACCGTTTTCGAGATAACTTGAAGTAAATGGATTGATTGTTTGTGTACATGACAGGCTTCAAGAGTGTTAATTATGCACATTTTGATTGTTGAATATCTCATTTTACAGACGGTCAAAAAATTTAACTTTTTCATTAACCTTTTGTTTCAATTTTATTGAATTTTTAAGAAAAACCGTTTTACGAGTGAACTACCGTAACAAAATATTAAATTTAATTGTAAAATTAGATTTTCTTCTTTTTTAAAAGCTTTAAAAAATTGCCCGTTATCTGTCCCATCCTTTATATTTAGACTTTACCAAGGAGCATGGCGTACGTGGCACTGCACGCCGTATATTATAGGTACTATTTTTGTTATCGAAATTTAAAAAGTTATGCCTTGTAAGTTAATCCATAAACATATTTATGAATTTTTGAGATGTTCATAATATTCCTATTTATTGTTTTCAATTCGGGTTATTCTTATCTCTGGAAAAAATCTGGTTAGGTCAATCAGTATTAAAAATATTTATTATTCTATGACATGCACTTTCAGAGATATATTTGTTTTTTGATTGCACTAACTGGACATTTCTCAAAGAAAATATTAAATTGCACTTTTAGACAATTTTAGAGAATTTAATTTTATATAAAAATAGAAAAGGAATGTTTTTCACTTTAAAGTTTTGACAGTTCTAACGTAAAACATCAAATTATGACTAAAAATCAAAAATAGCGATGATAGGCCTCTTAAAATTAATAGGTATTAAGGGCTCAAATTTTCACGACATTTTTTTTGTCATCCTGAATGACATTCTCGATATATTTAAAAAAAAAATAGTTAATTTTTTTGGCCCAGTCTAAATATAAAACAATGTTTCGACTGTTTCGAGTTAGATGTATTTGGAATATATATTTAGTTTATACCCTAAACATTTCTAGAGGTGCTATAATAGGTTGTACAAAATAACGGGAAAAGGCCTGTAATAACTAGAAAGGAAAGTCGTGTGTGGGACATATCAGATATTTATCTTTCTAAAAATGATCTTTATCTGATTTTTAAAATAGTGACGGATGTTTATTATAATTTTTTTATCATTGTATTATCTCTATATTGACAAAAGAACTTAAGTGGCACAAGATTATTATAATAGTTATTAGATAATAAGTTTTTACAAAATCATCAAAAAATAATAATTGCGTGTTTCATAAACAAATATATTATTATACAGCGTATTTCAAAAAGGTATGTCATAAATTCTTCCTCAAATAGATTACTAAAAAATAAGTGGATTTGGCTATATTTACCTATATCTAAAACTAGTCCCTAACACAGTTAAGGGTTTTTTTTTGTTGCGATTTTTTCTTTGAATTTTTTGCAAGTGCTGTAGATTTGAAGGCCCAATATTCTAAGAAGAAAAAAAATTAAAGCGACCCCTTTAAAAAAGTTGGGGGGCTCGGTACCTTTTAACCCCCGTATTTTTTTTTTTTACATAAAGAAACTTGCTTTATCGATCTTAAAATAAAAAAAAACTATGAATTTTTAATTTTTTTTTATAGCGAAATGAACTTTGTATCTTTCTTAATTAACGAGTTATTTACAATTTTTTAACTGAATTTCTAGAGCAATTCGTCCGTCCTGGACTTAACATATCAACAAAACTAAGAGTAGGTCAGGAGTTATTGTACAAAAAACGCATATAACAATCAGTGGTGTGCCAGGCTGTGCTTGAGCCGCCCCTGCAAAAACTACCTCTTTTATTTATCCAACAAATCTGAGAGAATTTTGGACCGGTGAGTTTCACAAGAAAACCAATCAAAAAAAAAAAAAGAATAGACGTTAAATATGATTTAAGTTTTGCTTTAATACCACAAACATGTTCATATTCTTTCAGAGCTGTATTAGATTGGGTCCTATGATTGAACGTTTACGTTATCCGTAACGTACATGTTAGGCTCAGTTTTAACAGTAATTAGGCAAGTTCGTATGATGAAAAACGGTTTCCAACACATTACTGTTATTTTCCGCCTGTTATGTTCTAATTTAACAGTTTTCCATCATACAAACTTGCTTCGTTACTGTTAAAATTCGACCTAACATGTACGTTATGGATAACATAAACGTTCAATCATAGGACCCAATGTATGAAATAACAGTAGGTGTCATATACGCATGATTGAAGTAGTCGATAACAGAAGATGTTGAGCTGGCTGTTATGAACGGAAGAAAGTATTTATTTGCGTTATTGCGCGTGCGCACAAAATGTACCTAACTTCACTTCATTCCTAAAAATGACTAAAATGAGGTTTTTCATGTTTTTCTGAATGAAAAAAAAACAATTAGGTTAAAATTTTTTGTAGTTCATTTTTCAGTTTTATTTAATTTATTATGGCGAAAAGATTAGCTAAAACAACTGTGTAATAGTATGAGGAACTACTTAATTTTGTTAGAAAAAACAAAATTATTCTCACGGGGAAAACAAATATATTAGATAAAAAAAATATCAAACCTTTGGCTAGTATTTACAAATCATAAATTAAAAACAAATTCGAATATACTAAGAATTCAGATAATTAGATAATTAAATAATAAACAAATAAAGTGGTAACATAGACGTTGGACACTTAACGGCATGTTATTCGAGGATGTTGAGGCGATACGTTAAATTAGAACATAACAGACGGAAAATAACAGTAGCGTGTTATGAAAAACTTTACATCATACGAATTTGTCTCGTTACTGTTAAAACTCGGCGTAACATGTACGTTACGGATAACGTAAACGTTCAATCATAGGACCCAATGTAAAGGTCCCTAAAAATAAATTCAGTTGATAAAAAATTGCACCAGGTACCTTAAAAATATAAACTGATTAACTAGTAACTAGTATGTAATATTTAACAGGAGTTTTAAATCGAATTACATTGTGAATTTAGTTATAATTAACCCTTTTTAACATTTCATCTAAGAATCTCGCTAAACTGTTGTGTTTAGGGATAGGCAATATTTTACTCAAACGAACGTATAATTAGAGTACTTTTTAGTAGTGATATGAAATACAGGGTGTTACATTTAAAAAAATTGACAAAATCATGTATCTGAGTTTTGACTCACCCTTTACACGTCTGTTGCGCTAGAAAAAAATAGTATATTCTTATAAAAGTAGACTATCATTAAAAATGATTCATCAAAAAATTTTGATGTTCGATTGTTTCTTTTGAAATATACAGAGGGTTGAACCTAGTACGATCTTCATATAAAATTGGTTTAAACTTCCAAAATACCCAGTATAACCTCATACATGTTGGTATTTTCTTGAAGGGCAAAGTCATGGGAATTCAAATTTACAATTAAATACATGGTGGTCCATTTAAAAAAACATAGGTTTGATCCATTCTGAAGTTATGGGTCACTCTGTATAATCGAAAATGTGCAGATTAATATTACTACAACTTTTGTAAATAACATTGTTTGATATTTTCTATAATATAGGATATATCGAACTTCCACACACTATTGGGACACCCTGTATATTCAACTCCGTCCTTTGTAACTTCATTTCAATTATTCAATAGTTTGATATAAAATTAAATTTTGAATCAAAACTATTAAATTTTTGTAATGGCTTATTAAATAATACCGTACCGTATTGACTTGTATAAAGGTCCTCTTTGAAGAAAAAAAAAATACACCAAGGCCGTCTTGGAAAAATATTTTATCCCCTCAGTATTCTACAACCCTATCTAAGAACAAATTCCTTCCGCATAGAACCTTGCCTTGTTTATTTATTTAAAACTAATTTTAAAGCCTTATACCTACTTGAATTGACAACATTATATAATTATGTCATTGTTAGATAAGTCTTAAGATAACAAAAAATAAATCGTATATTGCCTAGAAATGACAGAGAAAAAATATGATTTCACAAAACTCAATATGAGTGAGAACAAAGCAGACGTTCAAGAAGGTGACAGGAAACAGAAAACCAATGTCAAATTTAGCAATATCGCAGTTAATCTAACATTTAAGGTACTTTTATGGAATTTTAAATTTAATTCTTAAAAAGTAAATCCTATTTCTATTTCTACAATGTTTTTTTTTTGTTCTAGGATCGCGAAAATCGATCAACATGGAGCAATTTTTGGAAGAAAGTCAAGGTTCTGTCACCCTTTTTATGGCCGAAGAAAGATGCCGTTTTACAATTTCGTGTTTTAATTTGTTTTCTACTATTAGCAGGAGGAAGAGTTATAAATCTGTATGTTCCTATTTATCAAAAACTTATAGGTATGGCATGATTTTTGAAGAGATTAATAACAAATATAGTTCGATAAACTATTTCTTTTACGTTATTGGTAGGATTCTGAGAAACATTTTATGAGCTATGGATACAGGGTTGGGATAAAGTATGGAACCAAGTAAATATCTTTAAAAGGAAAAGGACGATATTTGTGAAACTTTGCAGGAAAGTACAATGACCGCATAACGCATCTGATGCCATATTTTTTGTTATTACCGGAAATAGCCTCAACTATTTTAATTTAAAGGGCACCTTGTATATTTTTGCAGATTTTAAAAGATCTAAAATTAGTATGTACGAATTCGGAATAACAAGATCTTTTAAAATCTCCAAAAATATACAGAGTGTCCCCTTTAAATTAAAAAAGTTGAGGGTATTTCCGGTGAAACCAGAAGTACAGTAGTAACAAAAAATATGGCATCAGATGCGTTATGCGTCATTATACTTGCTTGCAAAATTTCATAAATATCGTTCTTTTCGTTTTAAAGATATTTACTTGGTTCCACACTTTATCCCAACCCTGTATAGTATTGTAACGTAATTTCTACAGATTTTGGCTTACAGATCTCATAGATTGTCTCAAAATCCACCGAAAAATCTTTATTATATTAATTTCATTTCCTTTGCAGTTGACAGTATAAGTGTTGAAGAGAGCCAATTGCAATTTCGTTGGGACTGGGTTCTCATATATGTAGGATTTAAGTTTTTGCAAGGCGGCGGTACTGGTGGAATGGGGTTGTTAAATAATTTAAGGTCGTTTTTATGGATTAGAATACAACAATACACCACCAGAGAAGTTGAGGTAAGTTAAAAAACTAATTCAAGAATAAATTGATTTGGTTAAGGTGAAGTATCCATATATACGAACTTCGAAGTTTTATCACTAGATCATTGAGTAACTTACTTTTTATATTTTAACAAAAATTAGATACGAAAAAGTATGATCATTTGTTGTTGTAATCACCGCATCCCTTATGTACCTTTCGTATAGCCTTATTCCAATGTCTTAATGGAAAACGATGTCAGACTAATTGGTCGGCATGTTTTTGGGACAGTGTAATCCATCCTTCCAGGTTTGGGTATAAATACCACTTTTACCTCTCTCCATTTTTTGGGGATATACCTCAGAGCCAACGAGGATCTGAATATACCCACCAGGTTCGGTGTGAGTTCTTCCAGACCCCACTGAAGTAGGATTGGACAGATACCGTCAGGTCCTGGCGATTTAAATGGAGAGAAGCTGGATATTGCCCATCTAATTTTTTCATCGTCTACAATGTGTTTAGCAGTTTGTCAATCATAGACAGATGGATTGTATTCTTTCTCTGCCCAGTCGGCCACGTCTGTGATGACCGAGTCAGGAAAGTGTGTTGACAGCAAAAGTTTGATGCTATCTTCGAAGCCCTCCCATCAATGTCTTTTTGACAAGGATTTTTCTTTCGATAGTTATCTTACCATAAGGGTTATCTTCATCATTATAGCTACTTTCAGGTGGCTCGTAGCTGCATCCTTGTAGCTTATTCCAGACAGAACTGTGTGGTCCTGTCTGGATTTTTCCCCTTCTGGGGCGTTACCTCGGAAGAGGTGTGAGATCGCGGCCTTTTCTTGTATCTAGTTACGTCGGGTTCCTGGCCCTTTGTGGAGGCAGAACTAGCGTCGCTGCGTAAGGACTTGATTAAGCCGCTTTTGTTTATTTTGGAGTGAGGGAGTTTGCTGAGGGTGGAGGTTGCCGTACCACTGCCTGCCTGTAGCTTATCCCTCTTCCTCTTTGGTTCAGACCCAGAGATTCTCTTGCCTCTTCGGGGCCTGGTAGTTGGAGGTGAACTATTGTGTCCATCCTCTTTTTTAGGTGAAGGGCGTCTTTGTCCATCCTCCTGTACAGAAGCTGATCTTTGTTGTCCAGGCTCCTTTACAGGAAGTGAGCGTTGACATCCATCCTCCTTTTTTTGAGGTGATCGCCGCTGTCCAGCCTCCTGCGCTGGAGTTGGACTTAGTCGTCCAGTCTCCTTTGCTGGAGGTGAGCTTCGATGTCTAGCCTCTTCGGGTTTTTGTGTTGTTGAATCTATATGGTTCCCACGAGTAGCTAGGAAAGGAAAGGTCGACCGACGCAGAGCCCCGCATGCGCCTGCAAGGCTAGTTACAAGAGGGTGTTGCCAGGTTCCCTCAGGGGAGCGTTTACTGCCGCATCTGCCTCTACAATTCATCCGTCGTAACGTTCCCTTACACCTTAGATTGGGGGAGTTGGTTCGCGGCGGTAGCTTTCGCAAAAGATTTTGAGGGTTTTTAGGCTCTCGCACTCTACTTATGTCTACCACTAACCAAGGAAAACTTAGCCGTTCTCCTATCCACCACCCGGAGATGCGCTCAGTTGGCACTCAACCGCTGAGTCGGTAAAACGTTATTTTCTGGACGAAAAATTGTTCAGGAAGTGTATATTTTCTGGTTGGTCTTAAAAAAAGCTTTTACCGGTCCCTAACGTCTACTTTCCGGTCTTGATCCGCAAAACGTTATTTTCTGGACAAAGAATTATTCAGAAAGTGTATATTTTCTGGTGGGTCTTAAAAAAGCTTTTACCGGTCCCTAAGTCTAGTTTCCGGTCTTGATTGGCAAAACTTTATTTTCTGGATGAAGAATTGTTCACAAAGTGTTAATTTTCTGGTTGGTCTAAAAAAAAGCTTTTACCGATCCCTAGCGTCTACTTTCCAGTCTTGATTGACAAAGCGTTATTTTCTGGACGAAAAATTGTTCAGAAAGTGTATATTTTTTAGTCGGTCTTAAAAAAAAAACGATAAATATCTGCCGTATGAATGTCTGGGACAATATAGTTAGTTGTTTTTGTTTTTTTTTTTTTTTTTTTTAAATAAAAAATTGTACTTTTTCTCCCTCTAATTTAGGTTTTTTTCATATTTTAAGACACCATATTTTTTAGGTAGAATTATTCAGACATTTACACAGCTTATCGCTGAGATGGCATCTCGGCAGAAAGACGGGCGAAGTTCTTAGAGTTATGGATAGAGGAACGGACAGTATTAATAATTTGTTAAATTATATTGTTTTCTCTATCTTCCCGACAATCGTCGATATATTAGTGGCTGTGATATTTTTCATAGCTGCCTTCAATATTTGGTTTGGGCTAATCGTTTTTGTTACGATGCTTTTATATATAAGTAAGTTTCATATTTGCAGGTTTTAGGAGACAATCAGTGTAAGTCTTCGTTTTGTTGAAAATGACTTCTCACAGTTTTTGCGTTATTTTTTAAACTATTTCAATTTAGATTTTTTTATATCTTCGAAAAAATTGTATTTTTGTATGGCTTTTCAGTGAAAAAACATCTGTATTTATTTGTGTTACAGTTCAGGTTCATTTATCTACCGATTTACACTGATTGGCTTCTGAATCCTCTATTTATTAAACAATTTTAGTTTTAGTTTCAAATGTATACTAATTTGATATAAATGATTTATATTGATTACTATTTATTTAACTTTACAGTATTAACTATTACGATAACAGAATGGAGGACAAAATATCAAAGACGTATGAACTTAGCTGACAACGCTACGAGAGCGAGAAGTGTCGATTCCCTACTTAATTTTGAAACTGTAAAGTACTATGGGGCAGAGCAATATGAAGTCGACGCATTCAGGGAAGCTGTTCTTAATTATCAGGTAATTTAACTGTTATTATGCATATTCTATACTTGTCCCGTGAATGTCCTTGAACGTCGTAAACAAGCAGCAACTTGTAAGGTCACAAGTATAGTTTGACCCGAGAATAGCGATCAAGGAGAAGCGACAGCTTGGTGTTTTCAGTGTACCGTTTTGATACGCGCATGTGCGAAAATAAGTTGTGTTTAGTCTGTGAGCTGTTAAGTGATATTTTTTGGTGTTTCTTTGTGTTGTAATAGAATGTCTGGATCTGGATATTTTTGTGCATACCGTTCTTGTTCGTCCAAAACAGGCCAAGGATTAAGTTTATTTACTTTTCCAAAGGACTACAAACAGTAAATATCATGATTATTAATTGCTTTTAACCCTAACTACTTCAATGTAATTAAATCACATTACAACATTTGCGCATGGACTATCCGACTATAACAATGATTTCAGATAATTTGCCAAACTATTTCGCTCAGTGTAGAAAATAAGCATGTTTTCTCAGCGTAGTAAGTTGTGTATTAATCAAAGTTATGCTGTGAAAAAGGTCCATCCGATATCAAAGGCACCGACAGCTATTGTCGCTTCTCCTTGATCGGTATTCTTGGGTTTGACAGTACCAACAAAATATCAAATTGTGTATTCTTGATCATACGTAAGATGTTTGAGCGGATTTTTCCAAGGCGTAGAAACATTGTTGATGGGTCATTCTTTACTATTTTTCTTACATTAGGAATGACATATTGTTTTATTTTTTTCAGGCTGAAGAATTTAAATCCAGCATTACTTTAAACATTTTAAATACAGTACAAAACGTTATAATATGCGGCGGATTACTGACAGGAAGTTTGCTTTGTGTTTATCTTGTTGTCGACAAACGTACACTACAACCTGGTGATTATGTACTTTTCGCTACTTACATTATACAGCTTTACGTTCCATTGAATTGGTTTGGTACTTACTATAGGTAAGTCTCAAATATTTTTGTAAGCAATTCGTTAATTATTTACTGTCCGATGGCCTCTAGTCATTCATCATTCGACAAAGATACCTTGGTTTAGAATTTCTAGTCAATAAAAAAAAGGAATAAAAGTTAACTAATAAATAAGTACTCAAAAATCAGACGGCACAGAGGTCCAGAAGTAGACGATTAATTTTACAACCAATATAAATTAATTGTTTATTTAGCATACTATATTATTTAAGTATTGGACACAAAGATAAAGATTTAAAAATCATACTAGCATATTTTTGAATATTTAAAAAATTATTTTTTAATTAGTAAATGTTTACGTTTGTTCCTAAATGTAGTTACATCGTATTTCGCAACCCTTAGATATACCAAACCTTCCTACTGGCAATTCATTTGTTTAGAATGCCTAATTGTAATATTTTAACAATTAAACTTATTACTATAAGCTGCCAACGTTTATTTAAATTCCATCCAGTAAAATAAATTGTAAACATCTGTTTTGACCATGTAAAATACACATAAAGTTTGGATGTTTTTTTCAAAAAAGTGCTTTCTGAAACTGAATTGTTTCGTAATTATCACTGCCCTTGAGTTATTACAACTGATAGCAACACCTGGACGTTTTAACTAGGATTTTTTGAGAAAAGTTGACCGTTTCCGGACGAAAAGACAAGTGAATAGGCTTCTAAAACAATGTATTGTTACACTAAGTCTTTATATAAAATTAAATTTTTAGAGCAATTCAGAAAAATTTCGTCGATATGGAGAACATGTTCGACCTTCTAAGAGAAGAACAAGAAGTCATTGACGCGCCAGGGGCCGGTCCCATTGCCGTCAAACGAGGCGAAGTTGAATTCAATAACGTCACTTTTGGTTATCTTCCAGAAAAATTAGTTCTGAAAAATGTCACGTTTTCTGTTCCAGCTGGCAAAACTGTTGCATTAGTAAGTACTTTTTTTTGTGCCGTTGATTAAATTTATTATTTTTTTATTGTCATATTTTAGGTGGGACCTTCTGGAAGTGGAAAAAGTACAGTAATTCGACTCCTATTTAGATTTTATGATGTTGAGACTGGATCCATTGTGATAGATGGACAAAACATTAAGACTGTTTCTCAAGAATCTCTGAGAAGATCTATAGGTGTAGTACCACAGGATACAGTACTATTCAATAATACTATAAAGTAAGTGAATAATATGGACCATTTTCAATATGTTATTATATTTTCGATAGTGAAAAGAATCGAAATGAACAGTAGAAATAATAATAATAATAAAAAAAAGTATATAAATCAATAAGATGGATGCTCTTAATATTAACTCAGGAAACCTTGAGTGTTGAAAAATTAAGTCTGCGAAACAAGATTGCACTAATGCTTCGCTTACGTAACTTCAGAACTCACAAATGGTATTCAACAAGCGACGGTCAACCCAGGGGATAACGAATTAAATTCTAATGGTAAAGGCTAATAATGAAAGAATCTTATCTTATATTATCCTAAAGTTAGGATGGCTGGTGCAAATAAAAAACAATGCTGTTCACAATAATATTTTACCTAATTTGGTTTCTGAGTGGTTCGGAGTGGGAGTAGTCAATATTTACAAAAAACTAAAAAATACCCTTTTGACATTTGCGAAAATGACCAGATAATTTAAATGAATTTGAACGTTCAAAGCTGGATTCGAATTTCAGTAAAGAATGATATATTTAGAACAGAGGTCCTTGAGAACGCTAACGGGCGGAAATTAATTTAAGTTAAACATTTTTATAATTAAACCAAAGGAAAATTTGGTGACTTGGTCACAGGAGCACTTGAACATTTTTAAGCAAAGATACCGAGCTACATGGCGATATTCTATTAATCCACTGTGCTATCATAGCTTCTTTAAGTGTGTTCTATACCCGTGCGCCATATTGGAAATGTTAAAATTGCGAGCTTAATACTCACAAAAAAATCTTGTTTGTATCCGAGCTTCTTATGCATCGTAGATTGGCGCATGATAACTATTTGTTGTAACCATAAAAAAAAATAAAATGAAAAAATATAAAAAAAGTCATATACGTATACAGGGTGATCTGTCTGTGGTTGTCATTGCGAATGTGAATTAAATAACAAATACATTGTATATACCTATAAGACATTTTTAATTGTGTGTTGATAAATTGTGCGAGAATAATCACTGTGACTTTAATAAATCGGAAGTGTGTCAATTCTACGTCAAGCAAAGAAGTGGATTAATTGATTTATTTATATAAGAGACGATTCCGTTAATGTAACATAACTTCGATAACATTGTTTTTGTAAGTGTTTACAATGAGCCCTTTATAAAGAAAATTCACTATAATCATTTAGTGATCTACTGTCCCAAGTATTTTTTTTTATTATCGCTTGCTTTAGCTCTGGGGAAAACCAAACAGGAAACTTCTTTGCTGTGTATTTTTTGAAAGGAACAAAAATATCAATTGTCAGGTACACAATGTCGTAAAAAGATATTAATCATATCCACAAGACCCTTGTTTTCGAATAAAACATCCCAATTAAACTGGGAACGAAAATTTGTCACTTCCTCCACATTCATTGAATGGAAATCTTAATAGAAACCGTCACCAGTCAATCCCGAGTTGTTAAAACAATGTGCTTCATATTTAATCTCAAATGACAGAGGTGGATGATGAGTATCTTCCGGAAATAAGGCTTCCTCAGCTGCAAATATCTCGGTTTCGCTATCTTGAATAAAAACCAAATCAAGTAAATTTTTGTTAACATTTCTAACTGAGTTAACTTGATGAAGATTACGATAAGAGCAAAAAATGAAAGAATTTGTATGAATTCAACTTGATTTGGAGGAACTCCATCCAAAGGTACAGCGACCGATGCCAATCTATCATTGAACCACTGGCAGTACGGAACGTTAAAGTCTTTTAGGATACAGAGTTTATGCTCTGGATATTGTTCTGATAGATTCTCTAAATTTTCAGTAAACTTCACATATTTTTCTGGCGCACTTCGCGGTGGAAAATAAGCTGTTGCAAAGATGAACTTGTTGTCTAACAAAGTGTGCTGGTTATAGCTTTACGAACAGCTATAAGCACCCCTCCACCTCTAGAAAATGTACTTGTTTCGGAAGATCTATCCCTTCGATATATATTGTAGTCGAGTATTTGTAGTTCAGCGTCATTAATATCACCAGTTAATCATGTTTCATTAAACACTAAAATGTCATATTGAGAATAAGAGGTGTTTTCATAAAGAAGTTGAATTATCATATGTAGGCCTCTGACATTCTGAAAATATACCAATATTGTTGAAATGCTTTTTAATCTTAAATCGGCAGGCTTTTTTAGTTTTTTGTGAATAATTTTGGTGCTCCATTAACATACTTCAGAATGATATTAGGTTCGCCATTACGTTGTCTTTCTTTCAATTAATTTTTCAAAGTATTGACCATTGCTTGTTGTTCTGTGGTTAAATCTGCCTCAAGAAATATTTTTAAGCTTCTGTCAAACTCTCGCTTTTTTTTTTTCTTAATATTGAATGAACTACCTCGGGAGACTCTAGAGTTAGATGAAGTGATTGATTTCCATTTTTATTACGCTTTCCAATATCCTCATCTTCCTTGTTTTGGGGCAAATTAAATACCATCCGGTTACAAGATCTCTTCTGTCTCTCGGAAACCTCATGCATTTTTAATAATACTGAGGTCTTTTTTATATCGTCTAGGGAGCTTAAAAAGCTAGTTTTCAAACTCTTGACTTCTTCAGTTATCACCCGAATCTGGTTTTCAAACTCATCGAATTTCTGAGTGTTAATAATCTTAGTTTCGCTCAAAGTGCCTTCCATAGCTTTGACTCTACTATTTAGGGTTGATGCTTTTTTAATTCCTGGTACACAATCACTGCATAAGTATGGAAGGACGTGGGTAGATAAAAGTAGGTATCGAATCTCTGTGGAACTAATACCAGTCCAACCTCTGCATAATACCTTCTTACAAAAATCATATGGGTAACCAAAAACCTTACCTGACGCCTTGGGTTCTTTAAAAATGCAGTTAATAGAACACTTGTTTAAGTGTAAGGGTTAAAGAAAAGGTCCTTTATTTCTCACAAGTCAATTTAATTGGCGACCGGTTTCGAAGTTGTCACTTCATCATCAGGCACACCTAAATGGAATGTCAAGGAGTCAGTTGTAACAAAAACAATTATAAAAGCATGAACGGACTTTAACATATACAAAATAACAGAAAAAACACAAAAGAAAGTTAAACAATAACCTTGACTCCCAAAACGTTACTTTAAGTTCAGTTGTCCCTGATGTCAACCTTGTAGCTCCGGTTCACTCAAGTGGAGAAGGGAGTGGGTGATTACTTCGTAATCAGGGAAAAATAAATTATTTTAGCTGTTCTGTTAAATTGGACGCCAGGTAGATCTACTATACCAAGCCACTACAAATCAGAAAAGTCCTACTTTTAAACCTACCAAATAAATAGGAAAATAAAAGACAACCTTAACTCAAACCTTGTTTATTTCCTAATTGGAAGATAGTTTCCCCTTAGTTAATGACCCCCTTTACAATTAGTGCGCTATTAGCGACTTCAAACACAATTCATATGCTAGAAAGACTAGGTTTTTACTTACATACCTGAGGGCTAATCATAACCCCAAATTTATACCAGTATTTACAATATTTTAGCGCAGTGTACAGAAATTAGACAGGGTTAGTTCATTGAATCTTAATAAAATCAATAATATTACTTGTCAGTACCCCATTAAAATCCCCAATAAAATCAATAGTATTACTTCTCAATACCCCACGGTCATTAGCGTTGGATCCAAGGCGAAAGACATATCAAGCGCAACTCATAGAAAAGGTTAACTTCATTTAATATTAAAAATCCTGTAATTTCTGTATATTACAGAAGTTCATATCCAAAATACTTATAAACTAAAATAGTATTTGTTTCACTAAACAATGTGAAACATACTCTTATTATAAAACACTATGAATTATGATATATGAACTAACCATGAAACATAGGCAATGAGGGCCTTTAATAGCATATGAACACAACGTTATTTAATCAAATAAATTCATAAAGAAAACTGTATACATATACGTATCAGTGGTAGACTAAATAATAAACCCCAAATTATAACCGAAATGATAGAAAAATAAATGCATAATTTCCACTTATCTCCTGATCCGTGCTACTCAAGGCTAGCGTTGCCGCCTGTGGCATGTAGTCCTATGATACCAAATCTCTGATGTTCTAGAAAAGTAGATGAGGCGTTCGAACCCCAAAATGGCTGTTCTTCGTTAAAGAGGAAGTACATAGTCAATACCAGTCAGGAAAACGCTAGTATTAGGCAGTATCTTCACTACCATACAGCTGCACTGTGCCCAGCAACAGTAGCAGGCAACACCGGTACCAAGCAACACCCGTACCAAGCAACACCGGTACCAAGCACCCTAAAATGTACAATCCTAATTACAATCTGATAACCTAAATTGATCCCGCCCCTTTATCTCTTGAAAATTAACGTGAATTAATTGAACCTCCCAGAGGGTTGAAATTATTCAAGCAAAGCATCAAAAGTGCCCAATAAAAAAAATGAACCAGTAAAACTATACAGTATAACCTGTTCCCCATATTCAACCCCCTTAAAATCTGAAAGAATCTGTTATTAAAATGAATGGGTAGCAATATTTACAATTTATCAAATAAAACAAAAAGAATAAAACCAACCTCTGTTCCGGAGGGTGTAACTTCGAATCAAACAGGAAATGAAATCTGCGTAGAACTTCTTAAAGACCAATTCTCCCTTCAATATATAACCCAATTACGATCGGTCTCCAACCATCAAACTGCTACAGGACGACGGATGGGTTGAACTTCAATATTCAATACTCCTCAAGATGAGATGGGAAAGCCGGCACACAATCACATAAAAAATACCGGTCTAACTTCGCGTTAACCAACTTCAAAACGTACCATCAATGCTTCCCATAAAATAGAGACACTTTTACTAGACTCCCCACGCGGGATGATATACAAAATCACATAAAAAAGTAAAAAGTCTCTTAGCGAATTTTCAGTTCAACACCTCCATTAACATTCCTTGTTGGAAAAGAAAGACTAAGCTGCCACGTGTTACAAATTACGCCGTTCTTCGCCCCCTAGCATA